TTCCTTGTGTGTGTGCTGTAACATTTAATGGCATGTTTTTAAATGTTGTGAGTCACTGGCCTAAAAATCATACTCTGTGTTAAAAGGCTCTTAACTTTAAGCAACAAAGCACATAGCCATATCCCCCCAAAATGCCAAACTATTCCTTCATGACTAAGATAATCTACTGTCAGTATGACTGTAAGTCTATGTGCAAAAATCATCTAAGCTTCAAGATACTTCTGGGAAACATGTCCCAGATCAGTTTCAGATATTATTCCAGCTGACTCATAAAGTCAACAAACGATGTAGATGCCTTTCTATGGGATGATCTGTTTATTTATGAAAATGCAATCATGTCATTATTCCCCACAGTTTAGCTGAAATCCATTTTGTGGTGTCCCCCTTAGGACAAACAGTGCAAGTTACAAAATTTTGCATTTGAGCAGCAACATGCAGTTGAACTCTCATCAAAAGCCAAACAGGGATTTGAAGAAGGAGGGACAGCATTTGACTCATATTCCCTTTTGTTATGGGGAGTAATTATAACATCACAGAAGAACTATGATAGTGTTTGCATTACACATTAAACAGTTTGTCCAGCAAAACCTAAACAGTTAGTTACCAAAGCACTTTCCTGTTGTGAGAAATATAACAACTCGCTGCATGGCAGCAGCTGATGATCATCTTAGTTCCTAAATGTTGGCTGAACTGTGCCATATATTTGGGCTGACATGACTGCTATATCAAAGTGGATATTTTTAGCCAGCTGAATGCCAGATCTTTTACTGCTTGCTGCCCTGAGCTGTAATGAAGAAGTGCAATGTCCAGATGTGAAGTCACACTGAGCTTCTTGTCAGTTCTAATGGGGTGTATAAATAAAGCTCTGCAGGACTTTAACTCAGTGTTCATTCCTTTGCAATCCAGCACTGTCAGTTCTTTCCATACTGTCCTCTGTCCATACACTATGGACTATACAAAGCTAGTGTAGATCTATAGATCTGGATTCATTATCAGTTTAGGAATGCTCAACAGGGAAATCGGTCCATGCTGACTTTCAGATTTTTAGGGTCTAGGAACCACTGAAACAAATTTAAAGCAGAGTCCTCCTTAAGATATGCTGTAACTTACTGTAGCTTGTTGTTTGATGAGAAGATTGATTACACATATCATAAATTAGTCCATTAAAGCTGATTAAATAAGAGGTACAGATGCTTTGCTTGTGGGTACAGCAGTTACAGATGCTTTATAAATGATTTGTGCATTAATGAACTTCTTAAAATGTCCTTATCCCAGCTTACACCTCCTTTATGATGTGTAATACTATAATGTCCCCACCCCACAGAGTGACCTTTAAGTTGAAGGCAGGCTTTACTGTCTGTCCCTCAAAATAAAAAGCAAAGGCTTCTTCAGCTCAGCATCATGCAACAGTTTTATTAGAGAGATCATTACTGAAGAGATACCAACGTGGGAATCAGTGAGGCAGGCTAAAAATTATGAAAAACATTCCTGGTGATGTGCTGTGGAGTTAGAGTGGGTGAAAGTTTCTTTGCGAACACAGAGAGGCTTTGTGCTTCTCGTCTGGCAACTTACCCTGAAATGTCCGTTTGACAAAACGAGTCTAAGGCCATGAATCAGTCCACCTGGTACAGTTTTCAGAACAGTTCACACACTGTTCAAATCGACACAGGTGCACGTCAAATTTGAAAGCTGTATCTATCCATTAGCATGTTGCAGTAATACAAGGTGCCTCGTTATATTCTGAGCTGTTTCTTGTTTCAGCGACCCTCGCTGTTCTCACCTGACCTCTCTCTTTGAGGTTTCCCTGCTGTCAGGACTGCAGTTGGCTGTATGTGTTTTGCATATCACACAACATTCATCCTCTATTAACTTTAGACCCAGACTCTGTAGTGCACAAAGCTCCCATGAGGACAGCTGTCTCTACAGATGCTAGAACTGGCACATCTCTCGTCAGTGATCACACTGTGTTCAGTGTCGCATCATCAGCCTTGCCCATTCAGTAACAGCTCCTCTTGCTATCTGCATGGTTTCTGAGTCACACCAGCATTACTCACTGTCTGGAAAAGTGAGGTTTAGCATATACGGGAGATGTGTCTACAAAACATACAGTGGGTACGGAAAGTATTCAGACCCCCTTAAATTTTTCACTCTTTGTTATATTGCAGCCATATGCTAAAATCATTTAAGTTCATTTTTTTTCCTCCACTACTGTTGTCTAATTTTTGTTCAACATATTAAAAAAAAGGGACTGACTATTGTTATTTAAACCCTTCTGTTAAGTAAAAACCAACTTCAACCAAAATTAATGCTGTCCTATTATTTGATAACAAGGGCAGTCGGGAAATAGGACCCACATTTGTTTTGGAGCTGTAGGTGTTGGTCTGAAAACCATACACCTGGCCATACATTACCACACCCCAGCCCCAACACATACCTAAAGTAAATCGCTTTTGCAACCCAGCAGTGGGCCCCAGTACATTGTATGTAAACCTTATTCACTGAAGAATACTAATGGTATTTCTGTGCTAATATTTGTTTTTTCAAATCTCATTCAGTCGCACCCTAAAGGCTTTGCATATGAATTCCATGTGTCATTTGCCTTCGTCTGTGTTGCCTTTGCAGTCATTAAAATGTGTTTCAAAGACAGAGCAGCAACATAGAATTCGAAAAGGTTAAAAAACAACAAGATGAGGAAAGTATGCTTAAAAAGATTAAATAGCTATAAATATGAAAAACTGCCCAAATAATATCTAAAAAAAAAAGCTGTACTTATAAAAATGCGTTTGAAGCTAGTGAACCAGAAAGCTTTTTTGTGGCAGTAATCACAGTATCCTCCTCATGACACATCCTCCTTCAGTCTTTTTGATTTTTTGTTCTCTCTCTCTCACTTTCACACACAAAACCTTCTTCTCCTTAGTGACAAAGCCCATGTTATATCAGATTAACTTTCTCAGCCAAAGGCCCAAAGAGGCAGTGAGCACAAGAAGCCGGCCCATAGTCGCACAGTTTGACATGTACAAGAAGTGTGCAAATACACGGCGGGGGATGATTAGTTGTCCTCTGGTGGAAGGAAATGCACTCTCCTGCTCCTGTTATTAGATTAACAGTTTCTCTCCCTGAGTCACGTTCTGAATTAGAGGCCTCATCCTAATTGCTTGTTGCCTCTTGTTCCACTATTCTTGCAGGACAAACACTGACACTGTGTCGCCTTCTTTTGATCGGTGAGCAAACTAATTCTGGAGAATAGTCTCATGAGCACCATGTGCTGCAGTGCAGTGCCATCCTCGCGCTCTACTCCCCCACATTGTCTTGTTCCTGTTGGAAAGTAGTTCAGGCATAACAAAGAAAATAAATAAATAAATAAAAACACCACTAAAGGAGAGGCAGTGAAGCAAAGGAAGAACAAAAAAGCAATATCCTTTCATGCTTTGTCAGAAATGGGCTGTTTGGATCGTACGGTACAGTAGTGTTTCACACAGACCGAATCTATTCAACAGGATTGGTGCAGTGAATAAATCCACAACCACAGTGTCTGCATCCAAAAATGAAAGAAGAAGAAGAAAAAACATTGTTCTTTTGTTGTGTTTGCTGGATTTTGTATTTGAACTGTGGCAGGCTGGTTCTCTGGAAGGAAGGAATTCATTTTACCACACAATACAGACCTCGAGACCAGCAAAATGACAGCCTGGGCCCCATCGAGCCCTTTGCTGATTCACTGTATGTGTGAGTGTTTACACTGTGGGAATAAGTAGGGTTTATATGATTAACTGTCCCTTTGCTGTGGTTACTTAAGCAAATCCGGGTGAAAATGTCCTTCCTAAAATTTAGTTTTGAGCTTAAAACTTGAGATGGATTAATAAGTGACACAGCATATGTGCGAAGTGTGCTTAGTAAGCAGTTGGTGGCTATAATAAGTCATTATTGATTGTGTCACAAAGCATCTTACAAAAAAGAGAGAGGGAGAAAGATCACAAGCCAGATGAAGCCGTCAATGGAACCCTCAAATGGTGAATGCAAGGCAGGAGAGCAAGAAGGAAGCAGATGGTGTTTACTATTGATTCAAAACATGCACGCACACACTTCCACTGACTAACAGCTCAATATTGGACCGATACAGGGAAAACTCCTCTCTTTGTGTACTTGTCTGTAGGGGGCTGCTCAGTCTACTGATACACCACCGGCACCATACTTGAGTTAAAGTATACAGTGTGTTGCTGCTATCCCTGCAGGAGGAGGAAAAAAATCATCCAGCATTTTATCCAACACACACACAGGTTTATATAGTGGTGTGCATGATATTAACACAAACACAGGAATTTTTCTGTACATTTTATTTACAAAATGTATTAAAATTCTCTGTACAAGCGCCTCAGTAATGAGGTTCAGCAAATTATGCATGCATCTCTTGCTTTTTTGTACTCACTACTATGCCTGATGAGTTTTGCTTTTCCCGAAGGTGAGGCATACAAAAAACACACACACACACACAAAGGTGAAGCTGATTTACAAAAAAATAACCAGGGTCAACCTAAGGTCAGTTTGTGTGTAGAAGAGCTCATCAAGCATCACTGATTTCACATGCAATAACCAAAAAGAGAAAAAATGGGAAACCAATCATTCATCTTTTAATATAAATAATTCTCATTTAACTAAATGTACACATATTTCTCAGTGTTTCTTGTTCTTCACATTATCTGCCCATAGTTTTAGGTGATTAGATAACTATCTTCCTAAATCCTATGGAATCACAGTCTTTTTTGAAAAAACAAAAACAAAACAAAACAAAATTACAGCAATATGGAAATGTGCTAAGCTTCAGGACTCTCCCTGGTATAACCTTATATAAATCTATTTTCCATTGTATTCATATATTTTTCATTTTCATTTACTAAGTGATATCACCAAACACTGTAAATGCTGCTTAAAGGAAAACAAAAAAAAAAAAAAAAAAAAAACTCTGATATGCCCATTCTGACAGTTATTGCATGATCAGAAATTGTTAAAGAAAATGGTAAGGTAATCCAAAATACTACAGTTCAAAAAGCCATTACTGTTATCCTTTAATTGGATTGCAGTTAATCTACAATTGAATTACCCTTTTTATTTGGTTTTACTTTCATGTACAGAAGACTTGAATGACTCTAGACTTCATGGAAAAAACTGGTAGGAGCTGCAAACCTTAGTGAGTCAGCACTTTGACTTTGATATTTTACAAATTGTAAATCACAAACAGATGATTATTATTATTATTATTATTTTTAAATCAAGCATTAATACTTTGTTTTACACACTCTTTGTCATACAAAACACACTCTTGGCAGTATTGGAAGTGCGAATTATGACCTGGTTCTGTAGTACGTAAAACCCAAACAAGATCATCTTCTCATCCTCTTGAGTCCCATCGAAAAGTTCAGAAGACAGCGGCAGCAGCACCAGAGTTTAGAGTACAAACATCACACTCGTCACTGTTTAGGGCTGAATGGCATTTCACTCCAATAAGACCAATCTGCATTTTAAAACAAGTACACGGTCACCATAAGTGACTTGAAGCTGTATAAAACCTATTGTTTAATAACCAGTGTCTTATAGTGCACTGAGTAGAGCTGATAAACTAATTTGAACACATATTGTATAACCAGTGAAAATCTGGCAGCAGAATGATGAAGAGTAATTTCACCATATTGATTACAAGAAACCAATTAGACACTTTTCCTGTAAGATTCCTCATCTGTCTGGCACTTCAAAATGTGCTTAGGGTTGTAAATGATGGCTTTAGTTCTCTCATACATTGTGACATGTCAAATGTATTTTATATATTCTTTTTATCACTGCACCATTCTTCTGTTTTGTATGAGTTTCAAGCAAAAAGCAATATCATTGTGAATGAGTTGCATTGATTGGACTCAGAGTTCCATAAGGCACTGAGAGGTGGGAACCGCGTCGGCTCTTGCCGTGACCAGTCGTGTCGTCATTGCAGATTATCATGCTGTGCCCGCCCAAGAGGATTTTGGGCTCGGAGCTCAATCCCCGTGATCCTGTCCTTTCATTGATGTTCATTCACAGTTGTAAGAAACAATGGAAATGTTTCCGAAACCTGTGTCAACATACAGAGCACAAGGAAACACAGATTTGTTGAGGTGTATATGACTGTTTGGCAACCTTGCATCTTCATATGACTCATGTTTGGTAAAAATCTGTAAATTTGAATTAAAAAAAACGAATTTAAATGAGTAAAAACCAGTAAATGTGGTGGGTTTGTTTGAGTTGAGTTCAAGGAATGCTGGTCATCCACCTGACATGGGGTTATTTTTAAAAATATATTGCCCTCATTTTTTAAAATCCCCCTAGGTAACATGACTGACAGTGCTGGCAACATAAGCAAACCACCCACCAAAAGTCCCCCCACTTTGACTATCTGACATACATAACGTCACTTTTTTCTAAATGGCTTGTGTGCACTTGAAATCAATGACAAACACAGAAAAATAATCAAACTTTCTTTGCTTTAGCAGAAAATTGTGTGTTAGTAAGATAGTAAGACCCTGATTGAAAAAAAAACATGTTTTCAAGGCCTTTAAATTCTGGTGTGCTGTCATACTATATTTGTGTCATCACAGTTTGTGTTTAACAACATGAACAACAGAACTGACACACAATCAATACAATCAAACAAAAGACTAGCAATTTATTTTACACTGACCTTATCACAGTATGCTATTACTTGCTATAGAGAACTATGTTGTGAATTTCCATGGGATTCTAGTTGTATGAAGTGATAACTGACCTATCAGTGAAACTTAAGATTCTACAAAAGGAATAGTCCCTATGAAAATTGTTGACAATGGGTTCTGTGTGCAGTATTGTTCAGAAGGATGAGGACTGATTCTGCAAAGAGGCAGCTTTTCAAGGTGCACTTCAATATGTTTTATATTAGCAATGGATGTTCTGTTAAGCCCAATATAACATCCTTAAATGATTTCACAGAAAATTCTGTGTGGATACTGACGTACCTCTAGATCTTAACGCTCTCTGTTCCGTATACGTTGTAGCCTTCTCTGTATGTGGCAAAGTTCTGGGTGTTGGTCGGGGGAGCCGGCTTAAAATTCTGGGCATTCTTGGCCAATTTCAGCCGTTTGGTTTCTTGTCGTGATTTATAACAGAACTCTATCAGAGCCACCATCATGGCCAGCCCCAGCCCTCCAACCAGAATATAGAAGACACCAGCCACATTGCTTAGGCTGAGAGCACTTGTCTTGTCCTGGGAGAAAGTGAATGACATAGTTAAGAGATTTGCAGTAGAATGAGGGCAGCAAAACAAAATGCAGCCTGTATCCTTAAACTGAGCCTGCATAACCTTGACTTTCAACAATAAAACTGCTTCAGTAACTCATCGTACTCTATCTTACTCATGCTACAGTGGCAGATTATAGATATTAACAGCTACAAGCTACAAAAATTGAAGATGTAATGAGGCGCTAAGGCTATCATTTTGACTGAACTGATTTTCCTATGGTTGTAACAAAGTTATGGGGAACTTCAGACTGCCATCGTCAAACCATTCTCCCTTAAGGAGAAAGAAGCCAACTGTTAATGCTCTGTCTGGCGGTGAATGCAGAGCTTTCCCTTCCCTATGCTAGATGCATGGAAAATGGCTTCTGCTCTTGACCATGTTAGGAAGCTGGTCAGTATCGCATAGGTCAACAGCCCTGAAAATTTCTGTCTTTTTAAATCCTCTTTGTGCATTTCATGGCAACAATGTCATACAGTACAGTCAGATTCATACTAGATGAATGATAACTCCATTAAAGCTAAAGAACACGATCAAACCATTTTGCTGCTGCTTACGTACCAAACATATTTATTAAAAATTTGTTTATTAGAGTTTTACTATTTGCAGTTTAACCCTATGAGCATAGAGATATTATAAAACTATCTAGCAACCCTAACCTGTAATTCAGAGTCTTCAGTTGTATCTCAGAGGGTTAAATAGTGGGTTTATTACATTCCCCGACTTCTTATAATGTGCAAACAGAACGTCTAAACTCAACTCCCAGAAGCCACAAGATTTAGAGGACACCCTGCAGTGCTCTGGTCGCTTAAAGAAGCTGAGTAACTTATCACAATAAGAGGCTTTGCTTGTTCATCACACCACAGGAGGCCAAAGAATCTAATAGACGCATCTCGATGCAAACTAGTAACGGTACAAATAAATCAAATTTTCATTAACAGTTTGGTAAATAGAAACAGCAGCATAATGGTCAAAGTATAATGAAAGTCAAGAGTGAAAATGAGCAAAAGTAGCATTTATCAACATCTGTTAACTGCTGTAATTCAGTTAAAACAGTGTAGCTGAAAGGCACTTTAGCAATTCCCTCGCACCATTAACATTACAGTTTTCACAAAAATAGTGTTTCAGCATTTTATATTGCATCAAAAGTGTCTCATTTCTATGGCATAACTATTTGGGAAAGCAGTGCCATGTGTTAAAACCACAAACTGTTACAGTTTGTGGCCGAAAAATTTAAATATTAAAAGAAAAAAAGGTATGTGTAGCAAGTAAACAATAATATATACTATAGCTGTTATAGAAGTCTTGTCTTGCATATGAACAATACGTCAAAATGCAATTTGGAATCAGTACAAAAGACCTGCAGCGACTGACCTTACTTCCAGAGTCCTTGGTTCCACATTCACCCTTATCGTACCACCATTTGTTTTTCAGCTTGTCTAAGATGCCTTGTTCACTGAGTTTCAATACTGCAAGGTTTACAGGAGTTCTTCACGTGGGAAATAACATAAATAACATTATATTATGTTATTTTATGTTATTCAACTTTTAAACTACTACATACTTTACAAAGCGATAAAGCAGGGCTCCTGGCTATGTCAACATCACAGACAGCAGGCATTCTACCTAATACCTTCATAACCCCTAGTCTAAAGCCAGGACCTACCCATATCGCTTTGAGTAATCGGCAGACGCTGTTAGCAGGGTGACAGGCAGGTACTGAAAGTACAACCTGCACGTCTAAGAATATCAAAAAAACACTGAGGTACAATAATTTGGGAGCAGGTACTAGATTACAGGGGCTTTCTGAACAGCATTTAACAAGTTCAGTCCAATAGGAGGTCTGTCTTAACAAACAGAAAAATCTAAGTGATAGACACTACCTGTCCATTACCACAAGATCAGCTTAATCCTGTGATAGCCAATGCTGTAGTCACTACAATGACACAAATCAATTCTGAAACTATTAAAACCAATTTCAGATTTAAGCAACTATGCCCAAAAGTGAAGGCTTAATGAATTCTTATGTGTTATATCCGACATATCGCTAAGAAAGCCTTATCTCCCGATTATGCCAGATTAGTGTCAGATGAGTGTGTCCTAACCAAACTGCACAGCGCTGCAGCACTAAGCTCAAAAACATCAGTAGAATAATCCCACTCATATCAACTTTTAGCTGCATAATCATACATTTGGCACAATTGTTTCTTTCCATTTGATATCTCTAGGATATACTGCATATACCATGATGTCAGAGTACTGTATGTCAGAATAAATTGTCATCATCATTCCACTAATCTAAATTATTTCAGGAAAACACTATATAACCAGATGAACATCACATTTTCATTTGTGCTTCAGGTTAATCTCTTTGTAAAAGCAAATAGCAAATTGGTAGAATAGAAAAATGGTAAGTGGCCTCACTGCCCCCTTGGAATAATGTCATCCAAGGGGATCCATGCAATGCATATTGCACTGAGAGAAGATTACACCACTATATATCCCTCAAAGCCAATCTGGAGAAACAGATTGTGAGGAGCAGACCATTGTCTTGGATTGGAAAGACATTGATTAACAATGCAATTACCCTGTAACATGCTTTGTGTGTAAGACTCAATCTAGGCTGCAGTGTTGTACCTAAAGGCAAGAAAGAGCTGTGCTAAGTGCGTGTGAATGCAGCTGTGTGCATCATGTGCATCTCCTGATGTCTGTTGGAACACAGAGCTGGAAACAGCACAGGGTCAAGTGATGCACTATTTGAAACAAAGCGCTCCAGGCCACTTTATTCTAATCGGGCCTTTGCACCGAGTCCTGGAGAGCCAAAACAGACCAGGAAGCAGACAAAGACCTTTGCATGATAGAAGATCAATGACAATACAAAAGACAGATGCTTTCAAATGGCTCTTGGGCATGCTTTCAGCAGCACAGTGAGGCCTATTGAGCTCAGTGACTACAGTGCATACTGTAGCAATGTTGTAATCTCAAACACTGAAAAAAGGGGCATAAAAATCATTTTAGGAAATGAACCACAAGCATTTACTGTAGTAATACATAATTTGATCCATGCCTTATGCAGCCACTGGTGGCGATGCTGCAGCTTAACTCTTTATTGTGGTCCAAACTATGAGAAATTACTTTAAAGGTGTAATGACACCATGGGACCCTGTTTGTAATCTAGCCAGTTACCTGATCTATATCATCACATATGTGCTAACTGTATTGTTTGTCAGTAAATTGACCTGCTTAGTAAACAACATAATGGCACTGCCTTGTAGATAATTTGGTGAAAACATCACAGTGCTTAATGGCACATAACCTAAGTAACTTTATAAGTTCTCACGGGTGAATGGGGGGTTCACACTTTGCACCGTTAGCTCCCATAATGGAAAAATCACTCATCATTAATGAGTTGGAGTAGAAACTGAATGTAGTGGAATCAAACCATAGGTGGTCCTTTGTTTAATTAGACTTCTAACATTTGCCTGCAATGCTTCATCCCCTCAAGACGCTGCTGTTCCACTTGCTTTCCTGTTGGCCTCCAGCTCAGCAGCCACGTCGAGGTTTTTGCAGTTAAGGAGAATTTATCACATTGCTTTAGGTGTCACGGGTTCTGGGCCAGTGTCATAGATGTGATGCAGCTGTGCAGTGAGGTACCGCAAAGCCACATTTTTACACGATTAGCACATTTCACCTTCATGAGGGAAGGCTGCAGGTTATGGCCTTTTCAATGTAGAAATATTCTCTGGCAAAATTTGTGTTTTATCTCATACTGACAAAGCTGCTCTGACAAAGTCCTAACTGAGACTAGGTGATCTGTGCTACAGGCATGTAAGGATGGATAAACACAGCTTAGTCTTTCACTGTTGCAGTGCAGCCACATTCACTTCAACCCAGTCAAACACAAAGAAATTCATATTTGAACCAAATGTACATGACCATTACACTCTAAATAAGCCTGAGTAATATTTTTCTGTTGGCCAAGCAAGGGCTCCTTAGTTTGATCTGAGCTGTTCAACTGACTGGTCAAACTCTAAGTTAATTTGGTGATCTGCCGTGGGGCGGCAGCAGGTTGGCTGGGGCAGACAGTTGGTTTGGTTATGGTTGGGTTGCTCTAACAGCCTTGCCGATTACTCTGCACTATGGTACCCGATTGTGGTGACATCGAGGCTGACCTTGGAGTCACCTCCCCCGCTGCCGCACTCTCCCTTGTCGTACCACCATTTGTTTTTCAATTTGTCCAAGAGGCCTTGCTCATTCAGTTTTAACACTGCCAGGTTAACAGCATTTCTTGAAACGATAAAACATAACTTGTAAGAAAATGCACAGGTCCGTGAGAAATCTAATGCAAAGTAATAATTGTACTAAGCATCATAATGACAGGTAATGGTAGTGAAACTACCGCTGGCAAAGCAGGGGCTTATGCACAGAATACTACTATGTCTTTATCAGAATGGTCCAGGAAAGGGCAAATTGTTTAAGAATTTAAGGACCATGGAGAGTTAAGAAAGGCTCATATAAGGTAAAGAAAGTGTTAAATCTTGGAAAAGGTGGCATGGAGGGTTGCGTAGTTTAGAACTGAAGTGTGCGGGATGGGGACACTTGTCATTGAGAAGAAAAGTAACAACAACAAACATCATGCAATTAACATTCGTCACAAGTGACAGCGCAGCTTTTAAAGGCTAAATTGAAAAACCATTGAAGTGTTAAATTAAAAGTGACAACACAACAGTCAGGTAGGACAGCACATGGGACAGAAGGAGAGATTGGAGGAGAGAGAAAAGCAGCGGTAAGAGAGACATAAATATGAAATGACTTAGTTTTAGCCTTAATATCTGGATATGATTCCTCTGGTATAAAATAGAAACTCGTTAGCACATAAACAAATCTTTAAAAAACATTCATTATCATTATATTTGCTTCCTAGGGCATGAAAGGCATACTGTACTACCTTTACCTCTGTGTCTATAAATAAATAACAAGAGGAAGAAGAGAATGACAACAGGGGGACATCAGGGTAGGTGGAATACTATAACAACATGGAGGATATTGTTATATTATTCCACCCACCTTAATGCTGAGCCTTTGGGTGTCGCCACACCGTAGCCTTTTGAGTCGAGGTTCCCGCCCACTTTCATGGTGTCACATGGCTTCCGCTGCTCGATGTACTCATTCATGGTGGACTCGAGGAGAAAGGCGAACTTGCCCTTTGACTTTCGTACCCGGGCTACGCCATCAGGCG